ACCAATTTAGGAGGAGTAACTGGCAGTTTACCTGTACATCAGTTAATGAGCCAAATGTGGAACTTGCCGTTGCTTTGGCCTTCAGCACACAGCTTTTACAAAGAACTGTCCCCATCACAAAGGATCCTGGCTAGTAGCATCCTTCCCCTACAAAACCAGTGAATTTTGAGGGGGGGGCTAAAGTACAAATCAAATTCTGGCTTGCATCCCCTGTTTTACAGGGACTCATTGGACCACATTGATGTAATCTACTTTATTTCTTTCAGTATAAATTAATTGACTTCTGTTATGGCTGATACAGATTTGAGATTATAACATAAATTCAGGCCTTCAGTGTAATTTATATGGTGTTTTAACCTGTTTTATTCTTTGCCTAGACTATTGCATACAGCATTCTATGGGACCTGAAGTTCTTGATGAGGTATGGCTCCTTCTGAAGGTTTTTATGGGAACAGAATAAAAAATGGTGCTTGGTGAAAGAGGAAATTATATCTGTACATAGTATTTACCAGAAAGATTTTGCAAGTGATGCATTTACATTAAAAAAGAAATGACAGCACTTGAAAAATCAGTAGAGTCTGTGTTGAACTGTAGAAAGCAGGCTTAGTACTGTGGAAGGGAAAGACTAATCCTAACTCACTAGGATCTAAGTGCTTCTGCTGCTAACTTTGCTGACAGCTCACAAACAAGTGTTTAGACTGGATCAGTGAGTTTCTACTATTTCCTAAATGGCTAAAATAGCAATTGTGCTTATGCATGATTGACGGCATTTCCCAAGAAAACTACAGCATGTGGACACTGGAGTGGTCCTGGGGTTTCTGGGATTTTAAATCTCTCCCTCCCTAAGGAGAAAACAGGGTTCTTAAACATAAGCATTCTTGTCAAATCCTGAATGATGGCTGGCTGTTACCAGGAGGACAGCACAAAAACTATACTTTGGGCTTACTACAGCCCTGTAAATGTGTAACTTCTTAGCAGCACTGCTGCTCTGTTTTCTCAAAGCAACCTCTGAACTACTTTGGCATATATGGCTAAACCTGAGGTACAGAGTAACTTTAACACAGCTAAATTCATGTTGTAACAGACACTAAAGCCTGACACTGTGCCTGAGCTGGACTTCTCTGGCAGGCTGTACCTGTCTGCACAGGCTTGTATAAATCCTTGGTGTGTTCCTCCTTGTGTAAATCCTTGGCATGCTCAGCTCTGCTGGGGCTGGGAAGTCTAACCCAGGCTAACACAGCACACGGTGCAGAGGTCGCTCCTCACTCGCACGTAGATACCGAGCTGAAACTGTCAGATAAGACATTATAGATCAGTGCAAACTGTACTAAACTGCCTTTTTTTTTTTTCCTCCTTTCTCCCCATTTCTGTGTTTCTGTAGGAACCTTGCCCTTGGGGGAGGCTTGCTGCTGCTTTTGGCTGAGTCGCGCTCGGAGGGGAAGAGCATGTTTGCCGGCGTCCCCACCATGAGGGAAAGCTCTCCCAAGCAGTACATGCAGCTGGGGGGCCGTGTGCTGCTCGTCCTCATGTTCATGACACTGCTACACTTTGATATGAACTTCTTTTCTGTAAGTATCCCAGTGTAAAACTATGAGTTGAGGAACTAGAGTACAGTATCGGTGCCCAGATGGGCTGCAGGGCCTGCTCAGTGCTCATCATTTAAGTCTATTAGTAGAATTAATAACTTAGAAACTAAGTTTAGATCATCTCTGCCATGACAACGTGGATGTTTGGGTCTCTGTTTAAGAACCGTGTAAGTTTATGGTTATTTTTTTCCTTGCAGATTCTGCAGAACATTGTGGGCACAGCCCTGATTATCTTGGTGGCAATTGGCTTCAAGACTAAGCTGGCTGCCTTGACTCTGGTCATCTGGCTGTTTGGCATCAACATCTACTTCAATGCCTTCTGGACCGTCCCAGCCTACAAGCCCATGCACGACTTCCTCAAATACGACTTCTTCCAGACCATGTCTGTCATTGGAGGGCTCCTCCTCGTGGTTGCACTGGGTCCCGGTGGAGTTTCCATGGATGAGAAGAAAAAAGAGTGGTAACAGGAATAGCAACACTTCTTGGGACATAATGTATTAAGTCCAGAACTGATTCTCTATGGATTCAACAAAAACTGCCAGCATTTTACACGTACATGCCCCCTTCCTATTAAAGGCACAGATGTTTTGAATTTGATTTACTGTGGCACCAGTAATATAATAGATAAAACCCTATTTCTCCAAGGAATGTTGCCTAGGCTTATTCTAACTTCCTAGATTTGGAACTAACCTAAGGAACCTGCATCTTGCTGATGCTTCAGTGAGTTGTAGAACGGTTGCTGTCTTGAGTGTCAGCAGTGTCTTAAAATTTGAAGAACTGTGAGCAGATAGAGCTGTACCATTCAGTGTGCTGTTGGGTTCTAGCTATAACTAAAAAAGTGGATCCCCTTTCTCGCCCTCATCACACTGTCTTGTGCATAAGGAGTTCCATTGCTGGTTATAGCATTGCTTACCAGGGTGGAAAGCAGCATCAGAAAACAAAAAAACACTCTTGTTTTGCTGCTCAGAGGCCTGTAATTCCCTTTTGTTTTGTCAACAGAGGTAGGTCTTTCCTGCCCCCCAAAGAGAAGGCAAAAAGAAAACACTGAAAGTAGTTGTAGCCATTTATAGGTAAGAAAAGGGAGAAGGTTTTCTAACATGTCCCAGTTCTGCCCACGAGGGGAACAAGGGAGAATCCCGTCTTGTTAATCATGAATCCTGTATTGCTGATCAGATTTCAGGAAGGAAGTGGGGGAGATAATCCTGGAGAGACAGAATGTTAGATTCTGTGAAAATTCCGTGCCAAAAGAGCTCTTTATTCAGCATTCTTTCCCCAAAGTTGCCCCTCCTGAATTCCCAAGCAGGGAGCCAACTTGTGCTGCAGGTTCCATAATGAAGGCTCCTTTCTGCTATTAACTAGCTCCCATCCATGTATGTCCCAAATTCATATCTGAATTGCAGGTTATTGGTGAAAATGTCTTCAGAATTACAGAAACTCCCCTCTTCCCTGCACTCAGTACATGCCAGATGAGAGCAGTCAGTCTTCTAATCTATAGTCTTTGCTTCTTAGATTCACTTCTGTCAAGTCTCTTGGCTGTAAAGTCCCAGCTGTCTGAAGAGCCAGGGTGCTGAGCTCTTGACAGCTCCTTCTCTCTGCCATCTCAGCCACCCCTGGGCTGTGCAGGGAGGAAATGTGGAAGTAGCCCTTGTGCTGCCATAGCCCCCGTTCCCAACTCTGTCTGCAAACGGTTACAGCCGAGGAATCCAAGTGCAAAGCCTGGGCAGTGGATAAGCAGCCAGGGATGGACCTTCAGAGGGAGGAACTCCTCAGAGATGAAGGCCCCATTTGGCCTCTCAGTGCCACGACCTCTGTGCCATGAACATGCTTAGTGCTGCTCCAAGGAGGCATTTTGTCCTCTGCTAGTCAGCTAGGTGAGCCCGTTCACTAGACTGGGGAAGAATTCTAGACAGCATGAGCCCCACCAACTTCCTACCATTACACTGATTACCTTGCACTGTTGTCTCCCTTGAGGAAGATGCTCAACTGTGTGTTTTTCAAGGAGGAATTCAGCTGAACATCTCCAGTGGGAGGTGTTTCCTGGAGTCTCCTGGTAGGGACTCTCAGCTGGACGGTTCAGCTTTACGGTTGCTTTTTTGGAGAGAAAACTAGGCTGAGAGAACTAATGAAAAATAGAAGAGCACTGTTGAATGTTAAACCAGGGATTTCATCATCTTAAGGGGAAAATAGCCAATGTAAGGGCAAGATGTGCTGCTGCTGCTGGAGGAAGCCAATTGCTGTCACAGAACAGTTAGGGTTGGAAGGGACCTCAGATCATCTAGTCCAACCCCTGATGTCCAAATTGATGGGAAGGGAATTCAGCATTAAGGTCAGGTCACAGGTAGCTTTCTTTGCAAGAGAAGTTTTCACCTCAACTGTTCCCTGTGCCTGACTCTTCATAGCTAAACCAACCAGTCCTTCCAGTGCAGATCTGCAGCACAGGAGGCTTTTACTCGGTGTCACTGCAGGTCTTGTAACGGTTTTGGACTCCATCAAGGCAGCCATTCTCAGATACCTGAACTGCTGTTGATGTTCATAGTATTTATACATGGAATGACAGAAACTACTCCTGTAAGTAGCCCCTTAAGTTGGCTTTCTCAACTTCCTTGTGTCCTGTCTAACTGAGGAGCTGGGTGACAGACTAGTCTGAAATACTGACCAGTTTCCTCTGTGAAAACCAAGTCCCCTTTCCAACAAAAGACCCCAGATAAGGAACTGATACTGTCCCTTGCAGCAGGAATACTTAAATACTCAAAGGGCACAGTTAGGTGGAGGGCATTATCAGATACTTCTAGGCAGCACAATGTTCAGAGTTACTAACTGTGAGCCCCGATGCAGAAGATTCTGGTTTCCTACATAAGCTGCTGTACTTGTGCATCTCCCAGAAATACAGTGACCTCTCCCCATGGCTGAGAAGCTCTGACAAAGCAGGATGTCAGCTACCAATTGGCTCTGCAAAGTGTTCTGGAATTCATTCTGAATATATTTTTGCTTTCTATGTGGAAAAAAAAAAAGAAGAAATAAGTATAAATTCTCATTTTATGCTGTATTTTGTACCTTAGTTGTGTTTGAAAATGTTTTGATTTTCGAAAACAATCAAAATAAAACGATGGCATCTTTGTATCCACTTGGCGTGTGTGGCTGGTGATGCTCCATGGATGGGCTCCCTGGAGGAGCTGGTCAGGAGGCTGCTGTTCTTTCCTGCCTACCAAAAACCAGCTTTCTGTAAAGAGCTCTGAGTGCTGAGCTGTCTGCACCTGACTGCAGCAGAAATCCTTCCCTTGGTGTGGGGGTGGCTTGAAGCTCTTTGAATACAACTTAATTCCACCCCACTACTCCCCTCTGCACCTGTAACAGTTAACTGGAATGGGCAAACACTTGTGCTCCTACTGGAATTGTTACACAACAGGCTTCAGGCCAGGTATTTGTCATAAAATTTATTTCCCGTTGGTTGCCTTCTTGAAGTTCTTGGGTTTTCGATGATGGCTCTTGAATTTCTTCTTTAAAGGGCCCGACTGTTTCTGTAGAGAAGAAAAGTTCAATCAGCTTATTTCCAACCCCCAAATCCATCTTTATATATCTAACGTATGCCTGCTTCCCAAACTTGAGTGGGATCAGGGGATGTCCTGTAAGGCAGCGCCTCAGAAGAGATCTAGAAGGATCCTGTGACTGCAAAAGGGTTTCACATATGTTTGTGTATTTGGAGGACACTTAACCCACAAGACACACATCAGCCTGTCTGCTGAGACTGTGTGCAGCAGGATGCCACCAAAGATGAGCTGTTTATACAGGCAGGAACATCGCTCACTACCACAGAGAGGATAAACATTGCCTGGCAGCAATTCACACCTCGGGATGCAAGTCAGTGTCTGGCACACAGGGAAAGTCTATTTTGAACAGCTTTGCACCTTCTGCTGGTTCTCAGACAGGAATAGATGGAACACCTACGGGATGGGATCCCAGCTCCACGCTCCCCTGCTGCTGCAGGCAGTGGGGTGACTCCCACCTTTCCTCTCTTGTTGCCCACGGCTCTGCTGACATCCATCCTTCCACCGTCCTCTCCGTTCTTGGCCCCGTCATCCTCACTGTCTGTCGCAAAGTCATCGCTGCCCTTTGTGGTTTGTGCAGCTGATGGGCTTTTTTCTGGGAAGAGCGCAGCTAAAACACAAAGATTTAGCTCAGAATCAGTTACCTGTGCACACTAACTTTACTTTGAGAGCAGCTTAAAGGTGATTTGCCGATGGTGTTTTATTGGAAATGTGCCTGGTTGTCTCACTAATCCCATTCTGGGAACTCCAGCACAGGTGGAGTTACACCTCTGCTCCTGCAGCAAGACAGATCTGCACCTCCAGATGTAAGTCAGTAAAACAGGATGACCAGCTTCCGTCAGACTCAAGGACTTGCTGAGAAACAAGGGAAGTGGGGATACCTAAAGCAGCAAATCCCAGTGGATCTTGCATCCCTCCCCTCACAGCTTACATGATCCAACTGCTTATCACTTAGTGATAATGCTATTTCTTATTTGGTGGTGGTAAGCTTTTCCAAGACACAAAAACCCCGAACTGGATGGAAGAGCAGCAGGGAACAGTATAAAGAAACCAGGAGAAAATCAGCCAACAAACTTCTTCAGGACACAGATGACACCAGTGTTCTCACTCACGTGGGTACAGGTCACTCATGCTGTCGTCTGTCTCCTCTCCATCCTCGTCACTGGACTTTGGCTCCCAGAATTCCTCCTTCCTGTGAGGTTTTCTGCTCCCATTCATTTGGTCATCAGGATGCTGTGCCCGCTGCTTCTTCTGTCGCAGGCAGGCAGGGACATACTCCACTCCTTCCCTCTGGCATTCCTCATCTACCAGAGGGAGAGTCAGGCAGCACTGAGCCAGGCAGCCCAGTCCCCAAGTCCTTTCATGTCCAGCTCAAGCTTATAGGAAATGCACCTCCAAAGTTCAGAATGTTCTACCCCAAATATACAACCCATATAATCTCCAGCAGCACTATGGACCAGAGAAGATGTTAAAACAGATTGTGCTGGATACATGAACTCCCTGGGGGAGTTTTAGAACTGATCCTCTCAAGGAGGGATGTCCCAAGGTATTTACTAGAGGCCAATTGCTCCCTACATCTGAGATCTTCCTTCCTAGCTGAGGAGCACACACAGCAACACACTGATGCCAGTCTAAAGAAAACTGTCCCGCTCCCTTTGCACAGATCCACTGGAATCTCAACAGCTCAATGAAAAAAAAAATTGCCTGGTAACAGCTCCAGAAAAGCTACTTACACGTTTTAAGGGCCTTCTGGTAGCGCTTCCCTTGGACATGACGCAGCACGTGCTCTGGGAACTTGTTGATGTGTCTGAGGGTGAGCTTGCAGAACAGCTGGTGTCTACAGACACAAAAAGAAAGAGCCAGCAAGAGTTTAAGTATGCTGTTACTTCATAACTTCACTTACAAGCACCGTGCTCAAAGTTGATAAATACTTCATAAAGCCTTCCCCAGTCTCCCAAAACCCATAAAAACTTTGTAAAGCTCAACCACTTTACGTCTTGAGATCGAACAAGGCGTAAAGCATAACATAACACAGAGGAGGAAGAATACGTACAAATTCTTTGTGCTGGGCACTATGTGGGGCTCAAACGTGTCGTAGTCGAACTCTTTGGCTGTCTTTATGAGGCGCTGATACTTCTTGCCGCTGGTATAAGCCTGCAGCTCCGACAGCCGACAGGGCATCTCGTGTCCTGTCAGCCTGCATCTCACCTGGAAAAAACCACGAATGGGCAGCAAGCCCAGGGGATTACCCCACAGAATCAACCAGGTTGGAAAAGACCTCTGAGATCAAGTCCAACCTGTGACCCAACACCACCGTGTCAACCAAGACCATGGTCCCAAGTGCCACGTCCAGTCTTTCCTTGAACACCCCCAGGGTGACACCACCACCTCCCCGGGCAGCCCCTACCAATGTCTAACCACCCTTTCTGTATCCATCCCGGTGCTGGGAAGGGCAGGACCACCGCCCTCCTTCCCGGCCTCCCACAGCTGCCGAGACACACCCAGGACCGGGAGCTCGCCGGGGCCGAGCCCACCGCGTACCACCCTCACGACCCCCCAGGGAGGCGGCCCCATCCCCTCAGGGCCCCGCTCGGACGCACCTTGCCGGGCCCCGCGGGGCTGAGCAGGGGGTGCTGCCTCAGGAATCGCCGCTCGGCCTCGGGCACCTCCGGCCCGGCCACGCCGCCCGCCGGGCCCGGCGCCGCCATCGCGAGGGGCCGGGCCGGGAGAGCTTCCCGTTCCGGGGCCGCGGGCACGGCGGGGCGGCGGGGGGAGACCGCGGGTACCGGCCGGGTTGGGCCGGGCTGGGAGGAGCGGGGCCGGTGGGGCCATGGCCGGGATGGTGCTGAGCTCCGGGCTGAGGCTGCTGCGGGAGCGGCGGGGCCGGGTGAGGCTCGGGGGAGCGGGGCCGGGCCGGGGAAACCCCTCATGCTGTCCCCGATCCCGTCCTCTGATCCTGTCCCCGATCCTGTCCTCTGAACCTGTCCTCTCCTTCTGTCCCCTGATCCCATCCCCTGATTCTGTCTCCTGATCCTGTACCCTCATCCTGTACCCTCATCCTGTCCCCTGATCTGTCCCCTCCTCCTGTCCCCTGATCCCATCCTCTGATCCTGTCCCCTCATCTTGTCCCCTGATCCTGTCCCCTCATCCAGTCCCCTCCTCCTATCCTCTGATCTCATCCCCTGATCCTGTACCCTGATCTGTACCCTCATTCTGTCTTGTCCCCTGATCCTGTACCCTCATCCTGTCCCCTCCTCCTATCCTCTGATCCCATCCCCTGATTCTGTCCCCTCCTCCTGTCCCCTGATCCTGTCCCCTCATCTTGTCCTCTCATCCCGTCCTCTCATCCCGTCCTCTCATCCCATCCCCTGATCCTGTCCCCCGACCCTGTCCCCCATTTGTGTCAAGAATACAGATTAGGCTGTTGCGTGTGTTTGCTGATAGCACGGATGGAAGTTCATTTGCTGTGCTATAGTCAGCTCTGCAACTGCAATCTAACTTTATTTTGTTTGAATTATAACCTGGCCTGTAGTGTTTCACAGGCAGTTGCTCAAAATCAATGAGGAAGCAAAATTTCACGCAGTCATGAAGGTGACTGATACCACCTACACAGAAGTTTTATACAACAGAGATGCTACAAAGGATCTTTCTTATTCCATGTAGGTATCACCTTGCTTGATCAGAAGAATGTTTTTTGGATATCCCCTAACTAAAGCAGGTTCTGGGCTGATTCAGCACACTAAAGGTAAGAATGATGCCTAAGATTTGTTTGGGCTTCTGCCCTGCTTTAGCCTAATACCAGAGTGACATTTCCTGCAGGAATCTGGCACCTCTTCTCTATAAATCCTGTTCCTCATTCTGTTTTTCTCTAGATGTTTGCTTGAGGTTCTGCAGACCACGGAGTTCTGCAGCAGCTGCTGACACATCTGGTGATGATGCCTTACTGAAATGGGGCCTTCTCCTGGTCCCTCTGACCACTTTTGGTCTCGGCACATGGCAGGTACAAATAAATATTTAATTTTTTCAAGAAATGAGCACTTGAGGGCTGTCAGATTTTTCAGTCTCTGGCTGTTTAATTTAGTCCAAATCACAGGGAGGGTAAAGATTTGCTGTTGTTTTACATTTCTGTTTTCCAAGTGTCCATTTGTAAGTCCTTAAAGGAGAGATTCTTGGTTTTTACACTTTTATTTCAGTATATTTTCTCAAATGAAAGTCAGTAGCCTCCATTTTCACATCTCTAATTACCCTGTTTTAGGCCAGGTCTGATGAAAAAATTACAACCAAGATTTCAAGGCTTGCTGAGGTTATTGCATTGCTCTGTTCTACCCTAAAGAATTACTTTTGTGTTTGTGTACTTTCAGGTTCAGCGACGAAAGTGGAAATTAGATTTGATTGCACAACTGGCATCAAGAATTACAGCAGACCCTATCCCTCTGACATTAGAGTATGGAAGCTGGGATGATTTATTATCTACAGGGTGCTGGGGATATTAGATATGGACCCTGCACTAATGAGCTTGTGCTGAACTAACCTGCATGAAAATGAAGGACTGCAATGGGAATTGGAATGTACCAGCAAATTAGAGAGAGATCCTGTTAATTTTCTTATTTTTAGTAAAAGTATAAGTGAATACTTTTCTATGGGGTATTCTAAATGCATGGGAAAAGGATGAATCTCTGTTCAGGAGAATGTGGGATGTAGTTCATACCATATCTAATCCTGGGGAAGGAGGGCGTGGTTGCTGGTATCTGACATCCCAAAGGAGTTATTCCTACAACAAGTAGTCTTGGATCAACAGCAGGCCCTGCCCCATGTGTTGAGCAGTTGTGTCAGATATGAGAGAGGTTTTTAAGGTCACTTGGCCACCTGGCACAACTGTCAGAATGTCTCAGTTTTTGGATTTCATGGTCTGGGATGGGAAAGAAATGCTTCCTGTGGCTGGATAAACAGGTAGTGAATCCACCTGCTCATCAGCTCTGTGACATCTGGGTTGCAGATATCATGGAAAATAACTTCTCTCAGGATATTCCTGATCATCACTCCCTGTGATAGTAACAAAATATTGAGCCAGCTGCATATTCCATGAGGTGTTTGTCTTCTGCTTGCCAGCTCTAGAGCGAACCATTAGGGAAAAGGAGAATCCCATGATAAAATCCCCTAATTTAATCTGCCTGTCACAGCCATGATTTTGTTCTCCTCTTGTTCCATGCAGCCCCATGGAACTGAAGGAGTTGGAGTACAGGCCTGTGAAGGTCCGAGGGCGTTTCGACCACTCCAAGGAGCTCTACATTCTGCCCCGGTCGCTGGTGGACCCGGAGCGGGAAGCCCGGGAAGCCGGGCGGCTGACATCCCACCCGGAGAACGGAGCCAATGTCGTCACCCCCTTCTACTGCACAGAGCTGGGGTCAGTTAAGGATTGAGTTGTGGTCCACCTGAGCACCTCACTTCCATTTGGAAAAGCTGAATTGTGGTTAGATTTACATCAATCACTCCCCCTCCCTTAAAAGGTTTCTTTCACAGTCTGGGCGGTCACTGAGGCTCAATTTGAAATTGTGTTTAAATTCCCCTTTAACGTGCACTTTTAACATTTTCTTTTAACATGACAAAAAGAAATGGCAGCAAACATGTGGGTTGTTTTTCTTTGGTCTTTAGTTCTAGGCAGCTGCAGGAATAAATTTCCTTTCAGTCCTGAGACTTACTTCTGTGTGTAATTCTAGGGTCACGATTTTAGTCAACCGAGGATTTGTGCCCAGAAAGAAACTGAAACCGGAGACCAGGCTGAAGGGACAGGTAAGGGGGATCCAGGGAATGTGGAGTGTTACTTTCTGCCCATGTTCAGCATCATGGGAAGTGACTTAAACAGTTATTGCCCTTTTCAAAGACAAACCTTTGTTTCCCACCTTTTCGTTAGTAAATAATGTGTTTTACAAACAAGGAGCTGTTCTTGTTCTGCTTTTTTCCCCTGTGTTACAGCACATCCAGGATACAACAGCAAGACTCGGTGTGCCAGAATATGAAATGAATCTTGAAAGATTCCTTTTTTCCTCTCTGCACTTCTCCTTTAGATTGAAGAGGAAATCGATCTCACGGGGGTGGTGAGGTTAACAGAGACCCGGAAACCCTTTGTGCCCGAGAATAACATCGAACAAAACCGCTGGCACTACCGAGACCTGGAGGCCATGGCCAGGGTGACCGGTGCTGAGCCCATCTTCATCGATGCAGATTTCAGTAAGTCACACAGGAACCCAACCCCACCAGTCTCCCTCCCTTTCCGTTCAGTTTGTTACTTTCCCTGGGCACCTGGAAAGGTAGAGCCATAGAATCATTTGTAAAGACTTTTAGTATCAAGTCCAACAAGGTATTGCATCTTTCTCTTCCTGTACTCTGCTATCCCAGTTTTGAAGGTCACAGGGGGACTGAAAGTGAGCTGGAAAGGGACTTTAGTCAAGAGCGTGGAGTGGTAGGACAAGGGGGAATATTCAAACTGACAGAGGGCAGGGTTAGATTGGATATTAGGAAAAAAACTCTTCCCAGTGAGGGTGGGGAGGCCCTGGCACAGGTTGCCCAGAGAAGCTGTGGCTGCCCCATCCCTGGAAGTGTTCAAGGCCAGGTTGGATGGGGTTTGGAGCAAGCTGGGCTAGTGGAAGGTGTCCCTGCCCATGGCAGGGGTTGGAATGAGATGGTTTTTAAGGTCCCTTCCCACCCAAACCATTCTGTGATTCTATGAACTTGGGAACACCACTGCCCCAGAAGAGGAGCAGGGTATCCACCAGACTTACAACCTTCATCCCCTCTCTCACAGCCAAAGCAGCTCTGCACTGTGCAGGCTGAAGATTTAACTTGGCTGTGTTGTCCCTGCAGGAAGCACCGTCCCAGGGGGGCCCATTGGTGGCCAGACCAGAGTGAGCCTGCGGAATGAGCACATGCAGTACATCGTCACCTGGTAAGGGACCACTCTGGCTGACTTTCCCTGGGGTGCTTTGGGATGTAAAGTCCTGCCTGCATGAACTTTTAAGCTACATAAGCCTGAATTTTTAACCTAAGTAACATTTTCAAGGTGATGTGAAATAATCAGTTATTGTAGCTGCCCTAGAAAGGTGCAGTCCACCTTGGAAAGGTGCAAATGTGTGGCTTTATTCTCTCTCATAGGTATGGTTTATGTGCTGCAACCTCGTTCTTGTGGTACAGGAAATTTATACAGAAGATACCTCGGTGAGGGGAACGTGTAACCTATTTGTACTACAGTCAGGAGCAGACTTTTATGGAAGACAGGAGCCTGATCAGTCCTGAACAGCTGAAACACGCAGGATTTCAGGGCAGTGTTCCACAAACATGTGCCTCTAGCAAGCTGCAAATCAACTTTTAAGCAACCCCTGCAGACTCTGAGCTCCCACCAGCGTGACTTGGCTGCAGCTTGGAAGCACTGAACTTAAGCAGTAATCAAGGACACATTTTTCTGTTGTGGTTGATTGTAAGCTACAACATTTTAACATCTGCAGTGCTGTGTTATCCAAAAGACAAATCCAAAGGATTTTGTGAATCAAAGTTTCTTTGCACTGAGTAGCCATTCCTGAGGTCAAGAGTGGCTCAAAGTCGTTGCATCAGAGTAAATAAAGGCCTACAGGTCTCTGCTTTGTGACTTGCATCGTGCATCTTACACTGAACAGTGACAGACCTGAATTACAGGTTTCTGTGGATCCAGGATGTGCAGCT